AATAATAATAATAATAATAATAATAATAATAATAATAATAATAATAATAATAATGTCAGTATGTCTTGAAGCACTGAGCTGATACTGTACATGAAGTTGTCTTCGCATTTCTCATTCAAAGTAGGATTGTTCAAAGAAATGAGGCGGTATTATTTTCGTGTTCTTGTAAGCGTTACTTACCATGCAATCATGCATGATATCGTTCCAATCCTCGCCAGTAACACTTCGAAACAGAACAACGAGGGCTTCCTTAGCGTTCCGGAAATTCACATGTCTAGAAATTATTCATTGTGTTCTAAATTTTATGCCCTTGACACGCATTTAAGCGGACAAAAGAACTCGATGTCGGAGATTTATTGTGAGAGTGCTAGTGAACATGCTTGGCGTTCATTGTCGTGGAAATTTCGTGAAGAGTCGGAATGTGCTGGATTAGCAAGTTAAATCACGCCCAGTGAGCGTAGTGACTGACGGTACAGTGATTTATCGCGTGAACACGAACAGTTCAGTCCCTTGCTTAGATGTAAAGACGAATGGTTCGCTCCCCTTTCGCTTGCACGAGATCTATTCTGGAAATTAAAATTCGCTGGGGTATTTTTTCTCGACAGACATAAATCGAGCAAGCGATGGGTATTAATTGAAGTAGTGCTGGCGCAGTTGCATGTGGGAGCTTCACACCAATATCATTAACATACGATACTCACACGGGCGCTCGTGGTATTCTTGATTTTTTATTTTAATACCTGATTCTAAAACTGAAAAACGAAGTGTTACTATCAATTTAAAAAAAAAATGACAAGTTGCAGTCGAAACGTGGTACTGCTCAGGTTACGTTTGGATGCCTTCTCCTCGCACAGCCTGGTGAAGACGGAGGGCGTTTTGCCTTTTACGAAGTTTCTAGGAGCTTCTATAAAAAGACGAACTTGGAAACGGCTTGTCCGTACTTGACCATACCAAATAATATAACACCGGCGTATGCGTAAAAGAGGACCAGGAGGAACATGGCAGTGATAATAAACATACTACGTACCATACTCATCACAACCGTCAACATCAACATTTTTAGTGTTGTCTTACGACCTGAAATGGCTCGCATGAGCAAATGGGCCGCACCGTAGGCTGTACTATGTAGTGGCAGCACAAAACAGACATCATTTAGATGTGGGACGGAAGGCGACCTCTTTTTATTTTGTTTGTGAATACTTTTGAGCTACTCATTCGTTCTGATGACAAACTGATATTGGCTCATGCCGGGCAGACAGACTCTGTCATCAGCTTGCTCGTAAGCAGTTCGCAAAAGATGAAGCCATCGACAATCCATCCTACCAGCAAGTAATAGCTCTCACTTTCTACTCTCAGGCCAACCTACTGCCTCTCATGGAGAAAGGTAATAGGGAGGTTTCATTTTGACTTCCGGTTTTGACTTGAATATCAGTGCCACTGCAAATGACTGAAGAATGATAGAAGGAATTTAAAGACGTTGAAAGTTCTGCAAAGAAATGGTGGACTATGTTGGGA